AGGGTGGTGCTGTCGCGAAAGAAGGAGCGAGAAGCACCGGAGTCAAGTGTGAAGGTGTACAAGGCTTCAGCAGGCGCAGTACCAGAGAGAGCAAACTCACCAGCACCTGGAGCAGCAGCCTCACCAGCACCTAGAGCAGGAGACGCACTAGCACCTAGAGCAGCAGCCTCACCAGCACCTAGAGCAGCAGGCTCTATACCTGGGTCAGGCGGTACGCACAGGTAACAGGCACGGTCAGCACTAGTAGGCAATGCATACATGGCAGTGAGAATAGCATCATAGTCAAGAGCAAAGATATCTACCTTCTGTCCAAGCAGCTCCAGCCAGGTGGGGAGCTCAGCCTCGTCGCCAAACTCGGTACGCCAGGCGTCGCTCAGACGGGCGAAGCAGCGGGACTGTGTGTGACCAGGCGTCCCGCAAGCCTGACGAGCCCGATCACCTGTGCGAATGACGTACGGGCAGCGAACGGTACTCAAAGACCCTCATCTCTGAGCGTACCACTCACGAAGCTGCTGGGGCGTAAGTGTCTCGCGCGGACGCCGCTGCAGCTGCAGCTGGCCACTGCCAGACGCTCCCGACTGACCAGCTCCAGGGCGACAGCCACGACGGCTACCGCGACAACCCCAACTAGCGTACCACTCACGAAGCTGCTGGGGCGTGAGAGACTCACGCGGACGTCGCTGGAGCTGCATCTGGCCACCGCCAGTAGCAGCAGTAGCAGTAGTAGCAGTAGCAGCAGCAGTAAGAGCCTAGTAGTAGTAACAGAAGGAGCAGCAGTAGCAGCAGTGGCAGCGCAGGCAGGGCAGGCGCGGCAGGCAGGCAGGCAGGCAGGCGTGGCAGGCAGGCAGGCAGGCAGGCAGGTAGGCAGATGGCGGGAAGGGCAGGCGCACGACGGCTGCGACGGCGGGGCCGCGACAGCGGCGGCAGAGCAGGGCCGCGTCGGCGGTAGGGCAGGTCCGCGACAGCTGCTGCAGGGCGGGGCCGTGACAGCTGCAGGGCGGGGCCGCAACGGGGGCAGAAGGCTCCGCGGCAGCTGCTGCAGGGCGGGGCCGCGACCGCGGCAGGAGGCTCCGCGGCAGCTGCTGCAGGGCAGGGCCGCGACCGCGGCAGGAGGCTCCGCGACAGCTGCTGCAGGGCAGGGCCGCGACGGTGGCAGAAGGCTCCGCGGCAGCTGCTGCAGGGCAGGGCCGCGACTGTGGCAGGGCGCTCCGTGGCAACTGCTGCAGGAGCGACGGTGGCAGTCAGGCAGGGGCGGCGTCCAGGGGCAGCCGCGACGAACAGGGGCAGCCGCGGCGCGCGAGGCTGCAGCGCGCTGCGCGAGCTGCGGGCGCGGCGCGCGGGGCTGCAGCGCGACGCGCGGGCAGCGAACGCGGCGAGCGGGGCTGCAGCGCGACGCGCAGGCAGCGAACGCGACGCGCGGGGCTGCAGCGCGACGCGCGGGCAGCGGGCGCGACGCGCAGGGCTGCAGCGCGACGCGCGGGCCGCGGACGCGACGCGCGGGGCTGCAGCGCGACGCGCGGGCAGCGGGCGCGACGCGCGGGGCGGCGACCTGGCCTGACGCGTCAGCGACCTGGCGGGGCGGCGCTCTGGCCTAACGGGCCTGCAGGGGCGGCTCGAGGGCCTTACAGGCCTGCAGGGGCGGCGCGCTGGCCTAGGGCAGCAGTAGGCAGCGCGAGGGCTGCAGGACGGCGCGCGCAGCGCAGCACGTCACAAGGCAAGGCAGGCAGGACAACACGTGGGGTAACGCGGTAACCGCAACGGTAGGTGGGCCCGAAAAAAAAAAACGGTCCTACGGACCTAGTGCTCTGAAACCATGTTAGAATCCAGCAGCAGGAATGATTGAACTATGAAAGTATTGGGTACAAATATGAAACCCTAAAAGGGGCTGTACCCCATGTTGGCTACCCCACTACAGCCTACACATATATAACATGCATATACTTCGACATGTAGAGGCGGCGAAGACGGCCAAGGCGGAAAACTAGGAGGAGTCTCCAAGCGCGGTGACAGCGAGAGGCCGCTGTGTCGTCAGCAGCAGGGTCACCCCCTTCAGCCGGGCCAGAGGTGTCTGACGAGACCTCCAAAGGCTCAACCAAGGGGGGTGGTGTGACCTGAGACACACCTGAGGGAGCAGGCAGCGGGGGGGGGGAGGGGTCTACCAGGGGTAACCTGGAACCAGGAAGAGGGGCGGGGGGGGGGACGGGGGAGTTGATGTGGGGGAAGAGATAGTAGTAGCAACCCGACTCGTCAAAGGTGACGTCGCAGGAGGACAGGACGCAACGGTGGCTGGGTGGTAAAACTGCCAGTCAGGCGCGTCATTGGGAAAGCCAAGGAAGACGCAGCGAATAGTGCGTGGAGAGAGCTTGCCCGCGGAATGATCGCAGACAAGGGCAAGCGAACCCCAGACCCGAAACGCCGACGCATCGCCAACCTCCCCCGTCCAAAGAAGGGTAGGCGTGGTCTCTGGCTGGGAGACACGGGGCCAGAGGTTGAGCTGATGCGCGGCGTATCGGACCGCAAACAGCCACAGAAAATGGGGAGCAGCCGCATGGATCATGGAGGTGCGAGCAACCTCCATGATCAAGCCAATGTGGTGCTCAGCGATCCCATTCTGTTATGGAGAGGCCAGAAGCGTGAACAACTAGGTGATGCCCTCCTCACGACAAAAGTCCTCAAGGAGACCGGAGGAAAACCCACCTCCACGGTCAGAGTGCGGACGGTGCACCGGGAGGTCCTGGCGGAACCGTGCACTCAGCTGGCAACGAATAGCGCGGATCCAAGGGATCAATACAACACGGACATCTCCCTTGTGCTGCAAAGGAAACACCGTGGTGTATCGCGTGAAGTCGTCGACTACCAGCAGAAAGTAGCACTCCCGGCGCTGCCCAGAGACGGGGTTGGGGCCCCACACGTCTTTGTGCAGCGTCTGCAGAGGAGCAGTGGTCGGAGGAAACGAGGAGGAGTGGGGAGCAGTGCGCTGCCGCCCCTCGACGCAGGGAGTGCACGGCGGCGCAAGCGACCGCGGGAGCAGGGGCAGGGACCTCGGTAGGCTTGAAACAAGGAGACGCAAGTGGATGCCACGGAGACGCTGAAAGGAGGGGTGACCAAGACGGTGGTGCTAGAGGAGGGACTGGTGTGTGAGTAACCGACACGAACAAGACGTAGCTACCTGACCTGACACAACCACCTAAGCATATGCAGTGTGCAGTGTGTACAGTCCATACCCAGGCCTCCATGTGAATGTAGCAAGGTGGTCGCCAGTCACTGTGTCCATACAGATCTCCACACGCTCGCCCCCAGGAGTGGTGGTGGTGACCATCATATCCTGGAGGTGAGCGGTACTCACCAAGTTCGTAGCGAACGAGGGGAGGTGGAGACCTGTGAGGGAGCCAGAGAGGGCTGCCGGACACGGGAGAACAGTGGAGCTGCGTGCAACGACTGGGCCAGAGGAGAGGTCGGCTAGAGTGACAGGGACAGGTGCGTTGAGCGGTGTGACTGTCGTGCAGTCGCGGAAGAAGCACCTAGACACGCCTGAGTACAGTGTGATAGTGCGCAAAGCCGCCGCTGGAACTGCACCTGTGCTAGTAGCCTCGCAAGCACCTACACTAGCAGCCCCTACACTACCAGATCTAGGCACACACGAGTAAAAGTCACCCTCAGCACTAGCAGAAACAGCATACATAGTATACATGCTAGCAGAGATCTGGTCCCAATCAAGAGCGAAGACATCTACGCCCTTCTTGAGCAATCCTAGCTAGTCAGGCAACTTGGCCTTCTCACCAAACTCCGCGCGAATGGAGATGTCCAGGCGGTAGAAGCAGCGAGACTCAGTGTGCCCCAGTCTGCCGCAGGCCTCGCTAGGGCGGGGACCCGTGCGTCGGACGTACTTGCAGCGACATCCGCCTCCAGGGTCGCCTTGCTGGGCAACCCACTCACGCAGGTGCTGCGACGAGAGAGTCTCCTACCGACGTGACTGCTGCTGCTGCCCACCCCCAGAGCCTCCGCCTCCACCAGCTGCACCTCCTGACGCAGCTCCCTGGCCTCCACCCCTGCCAGCTCCACCTCGACCGCCACCTGAGCCCCCTCCGCCACCCCCACTGCCTCCACCACCCCGTCAGCCAGCCGAGCAACAGGTCCTCCGCAACGTGCCGCACACGAAAGCGGGGCCGCTGAAGAAGATGCTGAATGATGCCTGTAAGGTTGGGGATGTACATCGACTGTTGTTTACAAAGAACCAGCTAAGTATAAGGTGGGTGGCTCTCAGCGTGCGCTGGCCCGAAAGATGCCCTACCAGCCAATCAACGCACAAGATGCTGCCAACACACGCGAAAAACTGAGGGATTTCCTGTGCGATTCGGGTAAAAACCAGTAATGTGGGGATAAGGGGGGGGCGGGGGGTACGGCGATACATGTATCATCTGTACAGAGTAAACTCGGTATCTAAAAAAAAAACACTGGGCCATCAGATCAGAGCCCCTAACAAGATAACTCCCAAAAACTTTACCCAGAAAGTACAGAGTACCCTACCAAAAACCACTGATAAAAAAACCCCTGGTCTTGTTTCCGAGAGATTACGGTATATTCGCAGGTGCGATTATATCCAGGGGTAGAGGACACGGTATTATGGACCCTGGGGTTTCTATTCGTAAGGAGGATCCACTATTCAGGCGAACATGGTACTGGTTATAGGGTCACTTAAAAAAGGAAGTCCTGTGTATCAGAACACTCCCGAATTGAAGACACCCATCTCAATTCGAAACTGTCTTCTATCCGAGCACTGACGAGGATATACCCAATAATGCCCCTCCTGCACAACATGCTCGGAAGAATCAACCAACCAGCTAGCTCCAGAAGCCCTGAACAATCACCAAACACCCATGGGAGAATGTGGCATCACCCCACCCCCCCTTCCCCCCCCTTCCCCCCTTAACCCCCCTCCACTGTTGGGTTGGGAAGCCCCGCGCCTGCGTGGTAGGGGTGGAGGGAGAGGTGAGGGAGGGCTACCCCTTGGAGGGGGCGGCCATGTTCTGGTACACCCTCAGCTCGCCCTGGAAGCTGCCCACCACTATCACCAACCCCAGTGCTGACGCCCTCTCCGCCGTGCCCTCGCCCCACTGCCACCCCCCTCCCTCGCCCCCTCCTCCCCCTGCCCCTCCCCCTGCAGCCACAGCCCTGCCCTTGGGTGGTGTGGGTGCGACAGCTGATGCCGCCACTGCCACCTGCTCTTTCCGTCTCGATGCTGTTGCTGCCGCTCCACCCGCCGGCTGTGCTGCTGTCAGCGCTGCAGCTGGTCCAGTCTGTGTCGGCCCCTCTGTGCCCGCCACTGCTGCTGCCGCCGCTTCCAGCCCGTCGGCTGCACTGCTGCCGCCGCCCGCCACCTCATCACTTGCTGCCCAGGAGGGCGAGAAAAGACGAAGAGGGCTTCGTGACGCCCCTGGGGCAGCAGAGTGCAGCGGAGGCTTGCTTGCGCCTGCTGCTGTTGCGGCGCCCCCCTCTGCTGCTGCCACACTCCAACCTCCCTCCTGCACTGCCTGCCCGGACCCATTGCCCACAGCAGCAGCACCACGCGCACCGCCTGCCCCACCATCGGCGATGGCGGCCACAGCAGCCTCAAAGCGCTCCCTCACTGCCCTGCCCGCCTCCCCCGACCCTCCCAGGTCCGTGGACGTGCTGTGCTGCCCCGTGCTGCCGCCCACGCTGGCGCTCGTGGTGGGGCGGCTGGGATCGCTGTCCCCATGGCTGCCCCGGCTGCTCTGCTCCCAGTCCGCGCCCGCGAATGACGGCGAGGGAGACGGCACCACTGCTGCTGCTGTGGGGGCAGCCGCACCCCCGTAGTAGAACAGCCCCACCGTGCTGCCGCCAGCAGCAGGCGCTGCAGCAGTGGCAGGGGAAGGACCAGCAGTGGTGGCGCCAGGACGTGCCGGGAGGTTGGCAGCGGGAGAGGCGGAGCTGGTCCCCCTGGGGATGAGGCGTGGCTGGTCCGGCAGCAGGCCAGGCAGAGAGGCGCTGGCAGCACCACCTGAGGTCAGCGACGACTGGCCCACTCGCCGCCTCTCCACCCCCAGCGGCCACACTGCCACTGCACTGCTCACACTCGGGCACGCAAAATACTCGTATGCCTTCTGCCGGTCATTTGGCTGCCCGGTTTTGGCAACGAGGCCGGGCGGGTTGTAGAGGAAGATGGTGCCGTCCTCGCTGGGCGTCACGATGAAGTCGCCGCCCTCACTCACCGCCGCCGCCAGGTGCGAGGCGGTGTTCCTGTGGCCCTGCAGCTTGCACTTGAGGTGCGCGCCCTGGAAGAGCTGCAGGCGCGAGTCAGCGGCGGACACGAGCACGTGGGAGGTTGACCCCGGCACCGGGAGGATACCCGTTATCTTCTTCGGAGGAAGCTTCTTGGACTTTGCTCCGCGCAGATCCACTGACTCGTCCAGACTCAGCTCGCCGCCAGCTGCCGGGCAGAGCATGCATGGGGTCAAACAGGGGTCAAACAGGGGTCAAACGGGGTCAAACAGGGGTCAAACAGGGGTCAAACGGGGTCAAACAGGGGTCAAACGGGGTCAAACAGGGGTCAAATGGGGTCAAACAGGGGTCAAACAGGGGTCAAACAGGGGTCAAACGGGGTCAAACAGGGGTCAAACGGGGTCAAACAGGGGTCAAATGGGGTCAAACAGGGGTCAAACAGGGGTCAAACAGGGGTCAAACAGGTGTCAAACAGGGGGTCAAACAGGGGGTCAAACAGGGGTCAAACAGGGGTCAAACAGGGGTCAAACAGGGGTCAAACAGGGGTCAAACAGGGGTCAAACAGGGGTCAAACAGGGGTCAAACAGGGGTCAAACAGGGGTCAAACAGGGGTCAAACAGGGGTCAAACAGGGGTCAAACAGGGGTCAAACAGGGGTCAAACAGGGGTCAAACAGGGGTCAAAGAATTCAAACGAGTGTATGAGGTGAGCGGGGTTACGGAGTTGCAGAGGTCGCTTAGGTTGTAAAGAGCCAGGAAATGAAGGATGCACCAACGGTGAGGTCTTGTGTGTTGCATCATATGCGTTTTGGATGATGTGGTTACCGGAGATGGAGTAGAAGCGGCAGTTGCCGATGGCTGTCCCCACCGCTATGCCCTGTGAGAGAGCACAGCACCATATAGCGGCCACCCAGAACAACACACGTGGGGAGAGAATGGTTAGAGCTGCACATTCACACTTGGGCACAAAACAGGGCTTCCATATCGGAGCGTTAGCAGCACTCCCTCGCACGTGCGAAGTGGTTGTGCAACTAGTTGCCCGGACGAAGAAAGCTCTTGAGATGAGGCAAGCAGGCACTTTAGCACCTCCCCACGCCCCTTGCAGCACACAAGGTGGGGGCGGCACGCACCTGGCCATCGGGGGTGAAGGCACGCACCTGGCCATCGGGGGTGAAGGCACGCACCTGGCCATCGGGGGTGAAGGCACGCACCTGGCCATCAGGGGTGAAGGCGGCGGCGGTGACCATCTCACCGACGTCCACCCAGTCCAGCACGGCGCCCTGCGCTGCCGCCCACACGCGCACCTTCTCATCCAGCGCCCCCGTCAGAAACACATTCGCCTGCCGCGGGTGCCACGCCACCGCCGTCACTGCAGGTGCCGCCAGGGGGTGCAAACACGTGACGTTGCACAAGCATGGAACTCAACACAAGAGGTACAAGAACGGGACAGTAAAAGGCAGTTGCAATGCAACTTGCAAAAGCCCCATATTCTGTTTGCACACAAAACGGGCCCATGAATGCCGGCAGCTGGGCGCAATTTATGGTGGTGCAGTGCACTTGCCTATGTCGGGGTGCAGTTGCCTATGTCGGGGTGCACTTGCCTATGTCGGGGTGGAGGAAGACGCGCAGGCAGTGCGAGGAGCCGACGTGCCAGAGGCGCACAGTCCTGTCCGCTGAGGCTGACACCAGCAGTGGGCGCTGCATTGGGAGAGGGGGGGGGAGACGGCAGAACACACGTGCATGAGGACGGTGATGGGAGGTCTTGCAGGGACAAGCACGCATGCATGCATGTGAACAGTGGGCCTGGCAAGGAGGGAGAGAAAAGAGGATCACGGAGGCAGGTGTTGAGGAGGGCCATGAGGGGGGGCGTTGGGAAGGGCGTGGAGAGGGGCATGGGGAGGGGCGGCATGATGGGCGGCATGATGGGCGGCATGATGGGCGGCATGAGGGGCGGCATGAGGGGCGGCATGATGGGCGGCATGAGGGGCGGCATGAGGGGCGGCATGAGGGGCGGCATGAGGGGCGGCATGATGGGCGGCATGAGGGGCGGCATGAGGGGCGGCATGATGGGCGGCATGATGGGCGGCATGATGGGCGGCATGAGGGGCGGCATGAGGGGCGGCATGATGGGCGGCATGATGGGCGGCATGATGGGCGGCATGAGGGGCGGCATGAGGGGCGGCATGATGGGCGGCATGATGGGCGGCATGAGGGGCGGCATGAGGGGCGGCATGATGGGCGGCATGAGGGGCGGCATGAGGGGCGGCATGATGGGCGGCATGATGGGCGGCATGATGGGCGGCATGTGGGGCGGCATGAGGGGCGGCATGATGGGCGGCATGAGGGGCGGCATGAGGGGCGGCATGATGGGCGGCATGAGGGGCGGCATGAGGGGCGGCATGATGGGCGGCATGATGGGCGGCATGAGGGGCGGCATGAGGGGCGGCATGATGGGCGGCATGAGGGGCGGCATGAGGGGCGGCATGATGGGCGGCATGATGGGCGGCATGATGGGCGGCATGAGGGGCGGCATGAGGGGCGGCATGATGGGCGGCATGATGGGCGGCATGAGGGGCGGCATGATGGGCGGCATGATGGGCGGCATGAGGGGCGGCATGAGGGGCGGCATGATGGGCGGCATGAGGGGCGGCATGATGGGCGGCATGATGGGCGGCATGAGGGGCGGCATGAGGGGCGGCATGATGGGCGGCATGAGGGGCGGCATGAGGGGCGGCATGAGGGGCGGCATGATGGGCGGCATGATGGGCGGCATGAGGGGCGGCATGAGGGGCGGCATGAGGGGCGGCATGATGGGCGGCATGATGGGCGGCATGAGGGGCGGCATGAGGGGCGGCATGATGGGCGGCATGATGGGCGGCATGATGGGCGGCATGAGGGGCGGCATGATGGGCGGCATGATGGGCGGCATGATGGGCGGCATGAGGGGCGGCATGATGGGCGGCATGATGGGCGGCATGAGGGGCGGCATGAGGGGCGGCATGATGGGCGGCATGAGGGGCGGCATGATGGGCGGCATGAGGGGCGGCATGAGGGGCGGCATGAGGGGCGGCATGATGGGCGGCATGAGGGGCGGCATGAGGGGCGGCATGATGGGCGGCATGATGGGCGGCATGATGGGCGGCATGAGGGGCGGCATGAGGGGCGGCATGATGGGCGGCATGAGGGGCGGCATGAGGGGCGGCATGATGGGCGGCATGAGGGGCGGCATGATGGGCGGCATGATGGGCGGCATGAGGGGCGGCATGAGGGGCGGCATGATGGGCGGCATGAGGGGCGGCATGAGGGGCGGCATGATGGGCGGCATGAGGGGCGGCATGAGGGGCGGCATGATGGGCGGCATGATGGGCGGCATGAGGGGCGGCATGAGGGGCGGCATGATGGGCGGCATGATGGGCGGCATGATGGGCGGCATGAGGGGCGGCATGATGGGCGGCATGATGGGCGGCATGAGGGGCGGCATGAGGGGCGGCATGATGGGCGGCATGATGGGCGTGGGGAGGGGCGCACCCCGTTGGGCGCCCAGGCGAGGTCGAGCACGTCAGCGGAGTGGCCTGTGAAGCAGCACAGCGCCGCCTCCTGCAGCCGAAACAGCGCCACCGCCCTCCCCATGCTCGCCCCCCCGCCACCGCTGCCGCTGCCGCTGCCGCTGCCGCGTGGCGCTGCCTCTGGAGGTGCGTGGGGGGCGGCAGAGGAGGGGCGCAGCAAAGGGTGCATGGGGGAGGAGGGCACAGAGCGGAAGCCAGACGACAGCGACGCGGCGTGGGGGAGGGCAGGCGGGGCGATCTCCTCCGATGCGAATGCCGGCGTCCCGTCCGACCGCTCCCGTGGGTACCCCCTCACCCGCACCTGCGTTTCCTCCCACCCCTTCACCGTCGCGCCTCCTGTGTTTCCCCCCCCAACCTCCACCCCTCCACTACCCCCTCCCCCCCCCAGCCGCCCCCCACGCCGCTCCCATACGCCCGCCATTTCGTCCGCTGCACCACTCCGCTCGCCCGCCCCCCCTGCCGCCCCCTCGACCCGCCACACGCGCACGGCGCCGTCCTGCCCGCCCGTGGCGAGGTAGCGCCCGCAGCAGCTGAACCTTGCCACCCACACGGCGCCGTCATGTGCGCCGCGCACCTCCTGGAGCAGCCAGAGGTCGGAGAGCTGGCGGATGGGCTTCCTCACGGCCGACACCTTCACCCTCACCGCGCCCAGGGGAGGGGCGCCCCACCCCCCACCCGCACCGCCTGCTGCCGCCCCTGCTGCTGACGCCTTCGCCATGCCTGGCCCCGAGCCTGCTAGTCCGGATGAGGCTAGCCCCGAGCCTCCCAGTGGTCCGGCAGGCGGCTGCTCTGAGCGCTCCCCTGGCGGCACTGATGGCTCCCCCGGCCTCTCCCCTTCCCCCGCCCACCCGCCCCCATCTTCCATGCCCTCTCCCGCCATCAGCCCCCCGGCAATCCCTGCACCGCCCTCTTTGCCCTCTCCCTGTCCCGTCTTACTCTTGCCACCCTCCTTTCCCTTCCCACTGCCACTGCCACTGCCACTGCCACTGCCACTGCCACTGCCACTGCCGTACCCAGCAGCGCGGCGAATGGCCTTGAGCCACCCGCGGCCACGGCTGGACTTGGGCCGGCCCTGGTTGCTCCCCTCCCCTCCAACCTCCATGTCGCCCCGCTCCTCCTTGCTACCTTCTCCGCCCTCCTCCTCCCCGTCCCTACCCTCCTCACTTTTCCCCCCTCCTGCGCCCGCCTTGCTCTTCCCCCCCTTGAGACCCCATCGGGACCGCCTCCCACTCTCCTCCGCCCATTCACTCTTGCCGCCACTCTGCCCCTCCCGCTCCCTCTCACCCCCCTCTTTTTCCGCTGCTTCCGCTGAAACCCCTTCCCTCTCTTCGTCTCCTTCCTCTTCCTCATCCTCCTCCTCCTCATCCTCTTCGTCTTCCTCATCCCCCTCCTCGTCAATATCTGCAAACACCTCACCTCGGTGCCCCTCGTCGCCCTCCTCTCCGCCCTGCTCCTCATCATCCGTCAGCCCCAGCGTGTCCCGCCTCGCACTCACAAACCGCACCCCTTCGCGGTACTCCGCGTCCGACCCCTCCTCACCACTCTCAACCGCACCCACCTCTCTGCCATCCCTCCCCTTCTTCTCCTCCTTCCCCTTCTCCATGCCTGCCTTCCCTTCCCCCTCGCCGCCCTCCCTCTCACCCCCCACGGCGCCTCTGCCCGGTGCACTGCCACTCTCTCTCACACCGCCCACCACGCCGTCTGCTGGGCCCTCCTCGCCCTCCCCTGCGCCCGCCGTGCCACCACCCACTGTCACTGCCGCTACCAGGGGGGTCTTCTTCTTGCGCCGCCTCTCCACCTCCACCACGCGCTCCTCCCTCACCGCCTGCCTCACGGCCCTCAGAGCCAGCAGCGCCGCCACATTCTCCCCCTCCGCCACGCCCTCTACCCCCGCCCCGCCCATTCCCCCGTCTGCGCCCTGCCCTTGCCCCCCCCAGAGCAGCAGTGCCGGGCGGTCCACGAGGAACTCGTGCCCCGAGGCCGTGTCGCGCACACGGATGGCACACGCCACCTCCACCCGCCGCTCCTGCCCCCCCTCCCCGCCCACCCGAATGAACCCCACCACGCCCCACCCGCCCTCTGCCCCTGCCACACCCGCGCCCCCTGCCCCTGCAGCGCCCTCACCCTCGCCCGCCCCCACGGCCACCTCCAGCCCGTCCAGCCCGGCTCTCCTCCGCGCCGCCGCTGCCCTCTCCGCCGCCACTGCTGCTGCCAGCGCTGCTGCCTGCGCCTCCGCTGCTGCTGCCTCGCGCGCCCACTCGCGCTCCCTGTGCTCGCGCTGCTGCACCAGCCCCACGCCCCCCAGCAGCACGCCCCACGACCCCGCCCTCTCCCCCTCTCTGCCCCCGCCCCTCCATACACTCACATCCTCCCCCGCCTCCGCCACGTCCGCCAGCCCCCCCACGCCCCTGCCGCACGCGCCCTCATCGCCACCCCCCGGGCTGCCCAGCACTGCCGCCCCATCCGCCCCCACCGCTACCCCGGTGCGGCGTCTGAGGCGGGCAGAGCGCGGAGTGACGGAGGCGCGCACGCGGGGCGACACGGTGCGAGGCAGCTGCACCTGCATGCCCACCGCCACCCTCATGCCCCTCCCCGCGCCCACTCCGCCCTGCGCCCCTCCCTGCGCGCCCCCCTGCTGCCACTGCTGGAATGTCGGCCGTCCGCCGCTTGCTGCTGCCTGCCCTCCATCCACCTCGCTAGGATCATCCTCGTTATTGCACGCTGAAAGCCCTCCGGCAGCGCTGGCAGCAGCAGCAGAGGGCGTGAGTTCAGGTGCGCCGTCCACCCCAGCACTCCCCTCGCCCCCCCTCTTGTCTGTCTCCTCCGCCTCCGCCCTCTCCCCGTCCTCCGCCCTCCCCGCGTCCTCCGCCATCCACTCCGGCGCCACGCGCGCGCCTTCTCCCATCCCCACGAGGCGCGCGACGGTGCGCGCGAACTGCAGCAGCCCGGGCGGCACGCCGCGCGCGCCTGCTGATGTGAATGGCGCAGCCGCGTCGGCCTCAACGGCGGGAGTAGCGGGGGCGGCGGGGTGAGGGGACGGAGGCACGCCGCCGCTGCCCCCGTGCGCTCCTCCGGCGACTGCTGCTGGCCCGCCAGCACTCGCTTGTGCGTCCGCCTCTGCTCGCCGCTCCACCTCTTGCGCCTGCCGCGCAACCACGCAGAGATACAAGACACGACGCGGGCAATGCTTGGGACGGACGAGTAGGAAGAGCGCGTGGCGAAACGACAAGTCGCAACCATCTGACCTGCTCGGACCTTCCCCGACCCCCTGTCACCGCGCATGCACCCGCGCGTTAGTCACCTTCTCGCATGCCACGCGCAGCTGGTGCCACATGCGCGCGCGCCGCTCGGCGACGCTATTAATCTCCAGCGGCTCGGTCCACGGGCTGGCACTGGCGCTCTCCTCCGCCGCCACCAGCTCGAGCACGGGCAGCGCCAGCTGCGCCGCCGGGGGCAGCGCGGAGACCGGATGCGCGCCGTCGTCGTCGGGGTCGCGCGCGTACGCGGGCTGCGCGAGGAGCAACGGCGCGGCGGACTCGGTGAACGCCGCGGAACCCATCGGCGCGTTCTTTCTGCTTGGGAGTGGCTTAATAATGGGGAATGGCGCAGCCGCGTGATGCTAGTAAACGGTAGAATGTCACAACAAACGTGCGCATTTCACAAGAAACTCAGGAAATGGGAAATCGAAAATTGCGACTTCCATAAATGTGATGCCGGAACAGAACGTCCGAAATAAACACAACGCAACCCACAGCAGCCGCGAAAGTGGTGAACCTGACATGAAAGGGGTGGGTCGTCGCCAGCGTAGTTTGCGGGGACGGTCGTCATGACTCATGTCCTGAACCTACCTGAACCTGACAGCACACGGCTGCCACGCCTAGTGCAGTGTTCCTCCACTCCATTCCCTCGGTGAAAAACCAAAACCGCTTCCAAACGTAGTTCGAACTTAGGGCGTGTAAATCCCCGCGCATATGCGAAAATTGCTGTTGGCTGGAATTTCGACGACATTTTTTTCGCGAAAGTCGACGGATTGGTTCGACAACGTTTCGACAGATTTGCGGCCAATATTTGTTTGTTTGCAACTTTTACAGGTTTGGTGGCCGATTTGCAGGCCGTTTTACAGAAGTTGTAAAATTTGTAGTTGCAACATTAGCCAGATATGTGCACATTTGACGACGACATTTCGCATTGGGGCGAAGTCGCAGTGGGTTCGCACATTCTGTCGTTCTACGATAACGTGCGACATCGCATGTGACTGTTGCTCACAGTGTCGACTACTTGGCCGGATTGGAGTCGACACACTGTTGGATACGTGTCGACTATCCAACCGGTCATCTAAACCGCAAAAACAAATGTCGAAATTAACGACGTTCATTTTTTTTTATCAACGAGCATCGTCAGCTGGTTACTTTCGCCAAAAAACGGCCCAACAGATTTTGGAAATTTCACATGTTTTGCGATTTTACACGCCCTTAATGAACCCTTTCGAGGATTCAACTGGGGAAGATCTCAACGGAATGGGGGTCGACGGTAAAAAAAAAACTAAAACCCTATCGGATGGCATGCCATCTTAGGGAGGCATCAACCATAAACACGATGCGACAAGGTGTTCAGGGTTGATGCCTCCCTCGGATCGGATGCTCTTCCCTAGAAGGGTTTTTGTTTTTTTTTTCCCGGGTATCGATTTTCCTGGGCGGAATCGTTTGTTCGTTAAAGCCGTTGGCCCAAATTGTTCATGCTTTTAAAAGTTGACGAGAGGGAGTTTTTCTGGTCTGGGTTTTGGCGAGAGTTTCCAATTTCGTCAAAGTCGATTTTTTCGCGAAACCCAGCCAGCCCTCGTTTTTTCCTCTGGTGGGTGGATCAGTAATCGAAAGTCCCAAATTGCAGGTGCGCTACTTTTCAAAACTTGCACACTCCACTTCGTCAAGTTTTAAAAATTTGACCCGCGCGCTCCGCAATTTGGGACGCGGGCTTTAAGATATTGTCAGAAGGCTTGCACTGTGAGATGTGAAGAGAATGAACGAGAATGAATTGAGTAACAGCAGGATGGGTACAAGTACTAACCCTAATTGGGTTGTACCCCATATGGGCTACCCCACTACAGCCTACACAGACTATAGCATATAAGTTTGACACACCCCCATAGGCAAAGTGGGGGAGAACAAGAGGTCACAAGACCAGTCAAGAAAAGCAAAGCAAGCTCAGGTTGGATCACGAAGTCACCACGCATTCTGAGCACAAGCAAATGGCCACAAGGCCAATTCACATGCAGAGTTATATAAAGGAGAACAAGCAATACAGTGATCACAACCTAGCAAGTGTAAGCATGCATGTATATGTATAGAGATCACAGTACAAGCAAAGTCAAGAAGTGAGCAAGTGAGGCCAAGTAGGCACAAGGCCTAGAACAGTACAGAAACGCCGATGATCACAAGGCTGAAGTGCCTTGATGAAGATATCAGCAGTGTTGGCCCGAGAGGCCACGTAAGCAAGACGAAGCTGACCACGCTGCTGCAACTCTCGAGCAAGGAAGTAGCGCAGAGCGATGTGCTTCGTTCTGTGCTCCAGTCTGTGCTCCTGACACAAGGCAATCATGGCCTTGTTGTCGACGTACAGAAATGGAGGAGAACGAGGCGGCTCTCCCAGGTCGGTCAGCAGGTAGGTGAGCCAGCGTAACTCCTGTGCAGCCATGGCCCCTGCGTAGATCTCAGCCTCACAACTGGAACTGAGAACAGAAGACGAGCGGGTAGACCGCCACGAAACAGAGCCGAAGCCAAGGCTGAAAGTGTAACCCTGTGACGACCGCTGCGTAGCCAAGTCGTCAACCCAAGAAGCGTCTGCGTGACCAGTGAGGACAACTCGAGCCCGTCCTCCAAGCACGAGCCCCATGCCCGACATACTGCACAAGTAGCGCATCACCCTCTTAGCGGCATCCATGTGCTCCTTCCGGTGTCTCCCAGGAGCAACATAGCGTGCCAGGATGCTAAGAGGGTAGGCAAGGTCAGGTCGAGTGCAGGTCATCAGGTACATGAGGCAGCCCACAAGCTCTGGATATGGGCCACTCGGCTCTACGGACTTATCCGAAGGCAGAGCTGAGAGCGAGTGACCGGTAGGCAGAGGAGTGGACTGTGGCGAGGAGCACGTGAAGCGGAAGCGCTGAAGGACCTGCTGCACCATGTGTGACTGAGTAAAGGTAATGGTGCGCTGTGCTCTGTCCCGGGTGATTTGCAAGCCAAGATAGCTGCGCAGCTCACCCAGGTCTGTGCACGTGTGTCTCTTCTGCAGCTCCGACTTCACAGAGGCCAGTCCAGCAGTGTCAGCAGTGGCAAAGAGCAAGTCGTCGACGTACACGAGGATATAGAACGGCGGCAGAGAAGTGTCGGTGCGTAGGAACAGCGACGGGTCAGCAATCGAAGGAGCAAACCCAAGAGCCGCAAGCGTCGTCCTCAGTGTGTCGTGCCACTCGCGAGGCGCCTGGCGGAGACCGTAGACTGGCCGCCGGAGGCTCCACTGGGTGCCTGCAGGAAACGACCCAGTAAAGTCAGGTGGGCGGCGCAACCAGATCTCCTTGTGCAGGCTGCCCTGTAGGAAGGCTGTGCTGAAGTCAAGAGAGTGAAGCTCGTAGTCACGTTGTGCGGCAACGTGCAGCAGCACCCGAAGAGTGGTCATCTTCGGGGTAGGGGAGAAGGTCTGAAAGAAGTCAACTCCCTGTCGCTGACTGAATCCTCGAGCAACGTAACGCGCCTTGAAGACAGGCGGAGAACCCGGCGGCCGCTTCACCTTGAAAATCCACATGCCACTGACGATGTTCGCCCCAGGTGGGGGAACCTCGTCGACGTAGGTGCCTGTGGACTTCCAGGAAGCCATCTCTGCGTCCATGGCTGTCTGCCACTGAGAGGAGTAGTGACCCTCAATCGCCTCTGCATAAGAGCGCGGGGTCGGGATGTCGGGTGCATCCGGGTCTCCCTCAGGTGCAATCAGCATGGACACGAGATGAGGTAAAGCAGCTGCAAAACACTCAAAGTCCTCCTGCCTGTCCTCAAGGACGTCCGTGCCAAGAGCACACTCACCCCCGACGGACGGAGGACAGACAGACTCAGACTCAGCAACAAGACTAGCTGCATAGTCAAGGCGACAGGAAGCAGCAAAGTCAGCAAGCTCAGCAACTAGAGCAGACGCAGCAGTGGATGCAAAGGAAGGGTCAGTGAGAACAGTGGCGAGAAGACGCGTGACAGTAGGACTGGCAGCACGAGCAAGGTCCGACGGCGGGTCAGGAACGTCAGGAAGAGAGGACGCAGGAGGAGACGGCAGAGGGACACGCTGTGGAACAGAGGAAGGACGAAGTGCCATCCGGTGCGTGCCTGGGACAGGAGGAGGACGCTGACGCGGAACACGACGACCAGTGCGAACAGCGCGAACAGGCGACGCGGGACGAGACTCAGGCTCACGACGCTCCGCAAGACCTCCTGTCGGCCCAGTGTAAGGAAAGGAGCAGGCAGTGGGGAGGCTGGCTGTAACTGCGACTGCGACTGGTCAGGCGGTGGACACAATAAGGGAGGAGTAGGGCAAGTAGAAGGCGGGAGACCAAGAACCTGCTGAAGCAGTGGAACGAAGTACGGTCGCGGCCGCACAGCGCCTCCAGAACCAGCACCGACAGCACTAGTACCCCCAGCTCCAGGGTCTCCAGCTCCGACGCTCGCAGGACCACCAGCTCCATCACCCCCAGCAGCTCCAGCTCCAGCGCCTCCAGCGGCTCCAGCTCCAACGCCTCCAGCTCCAACTCCTGCAGCACCTCCAGCTCCAGTAGCTCCAGTACCTCCAGTACGAGCACCTCCGAGACCAGCGGCTCCAGCACCACCAGCAGCGCCAACTCCAGCGCCTCCAGCTCCAACTCCTGTAGTACCTCCAGCTCCAGCAGCTCCAGTGCGTCTAGTACGAGCACCTCCGGGACCATTGGCTCCAGCACCTCCAGCTCCAGCAGCTCCAGTACCTCCAGCGCCACCAGGACCAGGGCCTCCAGTGGCAGGCCCCCCAGCTCCAGCAGCGCCACTCTGAAGACTCCAGCGCCGAGCAAACCACTCGCGCAGCTGCGGTGGGGAGAGAGGCTCCCGGTGTGACGAGGCACCCGGAGAACCTCCAGTACCTCCAGTAACTCCAGGACCAGCAGCTCCAGCACCTCCGGCTCCAACGCCCGCAGCACCACCAGCACCAGCAGCTCCAGTACCTCCAGTACGAGCACCTCCGGGACCAGTGGCTCCAGTAACTCCAGCAGCTCCAGTGCCAACGCCGGCAGCACCTCCAGCTCCAGTAGCTCCAGTACCTCCAGCTCCAGGGCCTCCAGCGGGAGGCCCCCCGGCTCCAGTGGCGCCGCTCCGAAGGCTCCAGCGCCGAGCAAACCACTCGCGCAGCTGTGGTGGAGAGAGAGACTCCCGCCGGGACGAGGCACCTGTAGGACCTCCAGCAGACTCAGCACCCCTAGGCTCAGCACCCCCAGTCTCCGCACCCGCAGGCTCAACACCCCCAGTCTCAGCACCCCCAGGCTCAGCACCCCCAGACTCA